AGGAAATAAATTATATTTTTTTGAATGATGAATTACTTACTATCTTCTGCATTTAATGGCTGAAAGTGTAAGGTTGGACTCATTGACCTCTCTCTCTCTCTCAAATCCTAAACCATTCAAATGGCCCACCAACTCCTTCATTTATTACGACCCTTGATTGGGCCCTGCTTTATCTGTTTTTGGGGCCAAGGTCCTCTATAGCCCCCACTTAATAAATTGAAGGAAAAGGTATGGATTTATTAAATGCAGATTTCTGATTTACACTGCAAAGCTATAAACATTCAAATGGACTGATACCACACTCTATGTATCCATATCCATCCATGAATTGACATCAATTTCAATTTGACACCTACCTCGACGGTACATTGAACCTACAAATTTTGACACTGGGGATATCAATCATTTTCCCTAAATTGAATGGTTGTTTAATTATATGTGGGCCAAATGTAAAGTACATAGTGGGCAACAGTAGACTATCTCTTAAGCCAAAGTGTCAAACCCAAAATATAGAAGCTGGCAATTGTGTATGGATAGAATATCTACGTCACATAACCAACTGGCCTTTGCGTGAACTACGCTACACCCCCCCCCCCCCCCCCAAATGGTAAAACTTGAAACAGCCCCATTCATATCAGATCAGATCATCAATCACCATCGGCTTTAGCCTTATTCAATCCCTATTAAAAGCTTCCATATTCCCTTTTAGCAAATTGATCTGTATTCTGTAGCTCCTGTGTCAAACTGAATGTTTGCTTGTGGGAATGGTATTACATTTACATTTATCCTGTTACTCATTTAAATTCAAGACCCAACAATGATCAACAACCTTGTTTAATGCAATCTACTCTGACATGCCTGCAGCTGAAGCTGCCACTATAACTGAATAAAAAGCCCATATCATAGATTATATGAAACTTGATCTGGGTTAGCCCAAGCCCAAGCCCAATCCAAAGAAGTCGGATTCGGTTAAGATTGACTGATATAACTTGGGGTTGGGTTGGAGTTGAGGCCTTAGACAATCTAACTTATATCATCACCACCATCATCTGCATCCATATCTATCCCAATTATATGGGTTGGCCAAATGAATCTTGTTTCGTCAATCCATTCTATTCAAATTTTAAAGCCATATCCAATTATCCATTACTAAATTTTAGTGCCTAAATTATTTCTTATTACTTGTATTCATATCCTTTTCAATTAAGGAATAACTCGGTATGTTGGATGATTTGTTCCAGCAAAGATGCGGCTTCGAGTCCCACTACCATGTATTTGAAAAAAATAAATGAATTATGTGTAAACACCAAAGTTCTTAATGGTGTGATATTGTTCTGTTCTTAAAAAAAGTAACAGCGCATTGATTAATATAAGAAAAACCCTTTTTGGTAGCTGTTAGTAATCTTCTACCCATATGACTAAGTCACCTTTATCCTCCAATTGGATTAGGGTGAGAAGAAGTTAAGTTGGGTTGGGGGGTTAGGGCTGCTCTCAATTATCAACCGGACTTGACCCAGCACCCAGCTGCATAATCATTCATCTCTGTTTGAGAAAAGGAAAGAAAGACAGACGGTAGCTGCCATTCCCAGAGTCCAGAGTCCAGAGTCCAGACTTGGACTACGGAATAGAGAGTAGCATTCTATTGCTTAATAGATTTGGTGTGGCAGAACAATGAAGGATCTGATATCAATGTCATGAAGGGCACCCCCTGAAACGACAAGAATGCACTGCCATGTTGCATAAATATTTTCAAGTTTGAGGTCGTTTTCTCTTTTGTGCCATTTCTTGTAGGATTCAATTGCAATAAATGCTAACACAGAAATTAGCCATATATATGATAAATGTCATAAAGGTTTACCATCTGTCCAACTTAAAGGCTCTCCCACTTGGCAAATTTATTTGGACAATACATTTGGACCGTAGACGTCTATACTCTACAAATACAATACAAAACATCTAAAAAGAAGATGTGGTCCATTCCATGTGTGAAGAGAAGGGTTCATGACCCTATCAAATTTTACTGGTTCCATTTTGGATTTTTCACTACGTTTCTACCGGGTTGAAGATTGGTAGTAATGTTTTAACAACATTACACCATGAATGCTTTTGTTTTCGTTTGTTTTTTATATTGTCACATTGTAAACAACAACTAAAACATGTTCTTGAAAAGAAAAAACAAGTTGGTTTTGTTTTTTAATAAATAATACATGTTTTTTTGGAATCATCAAAATAATAGTTTTCAAAACGAAAACAAGTTTAGTATAAAAATTATATGATTTATGGAATATGATATTAAGTCTTACTTTGGAAAGAATACAAATACAAATATGCACCATACAAATACAAATATTTTTATTTTGAAAAACAATTTGTTTTCTAACAAACTGTTTTATTTTGTTTTTCTAACTGACAATAAAAAAAAAATCATGTTCTTCTTTTGAAGCCAACAATTCATGTTCTTGAACACCCCCTTAGTTGTCTTATAAAATTTGATTCTTAATGTAGGAAATCTTGTATGTAGGGATCCATATCCAACGGATCTTTGAAAAGGTGAACCAAATTCAAATTCAACTGAATATTCGAACTAATATTTGAATACGAAAAATTAATTTAAATATCCAAATTAGAAATAAGATTTATTAAAAAGAAATAAATATTTAAATAATACCATATGTATATCAATGCCATAATCAGTTCATATATTTATTAGATCGAATTAAGCAGTATATGATTTCAATCCATTAAATTAAACTTTTAAATACCATGTACGCCCCACCAGAAATCCGTTGATGGAATTAAAAATACAAAAAAAAAATATCATGTAGTCTCTACCTGTATTTGACATTCAATTAAAAAATACAAAAAAAAAGTCAATTAAACGACCAAGGGAGTTTCCACTTGGCAAGATTTCTAAATAAAATACCATGTACACCCCACTTCTAAATGAAAAAACCAAAAAAAAAAAAAACTAAAAATTAAAAATTGCTATCCATTGATAGAACTAAAGTTGAAACAGTTCTAACTACGTTACCAAAAGATTCCCCCACATGCTTTAAAAAATATAAGTATAGAATATATGGTGGGTCGTGCAGGGAAGTTGCGCAGTTGGCAATTGACCTGATTAACCTTTTTTCTATATTTTTTTCATGAAAAGCATTAATCAAGTAGTCCAAATCTAGCTAGCATTAGGGCCCGATCATTTTTATTTACCTGAATTTGCATAGGCGCCCCACTGAACGCTTATCCTATTTGGAACATCTCCCATTGACAAGTGTGGGAGATGTTTCCTTAGGCACCAATGTGAAATCCGTTTAAGTGGGCAAGTGTTTCCCATGTAAAATTTGTCTCAGTGAGGTTGTGGCATTCTTGTGATATAAGTTACCTAAATTAATGCTTTTAATCCGATCTAGAGGTCGATCCATTTTTCCCTTTAGGTCATAAGTTATCGGTTCAACCGCCCAGGTGTGTATAAATACATATTTTATTAATAAATAATGTATAATTATATTTTATATATAATATATGTATTATTTTATATCTAATCCATGTTTTTACTTTTTATTATAAAAATTTTAGAAATTGCAATTTGATGCCTTTCTTTTTTTTTTTTTTTAAATAGCAGGATAGGGCACTTATGGCCCTTGGGACGTACATACATTGAGTCCTACGACCCGGTGACTAAGTCGAATAGGTCAATGGTTAAATCACCCGAGTCAGACAATTTTTGACTAAGTCAATATTTTTTGACTGAGGTGCAGATTTCAATATAACCAGACCCAGAATCATCACACGACCAGGTTACCAGCAGATTGAAAACATTGTCCTAAATAAGGAGAGAGGCCAAAGGAAAAGAGATTTATTAGCGCATGGATAAATTACTTATTAGGGGTGTTCATGGGTCGGGTTGGGTCGGTTTATTGGGGTTTTCCCAACCGACCCGACCTGGTTGGGTTACCTGAGGTGGAAACCGAAACCGACCCACTGATAGGCCAAACCGACCTGATCGGTTTGAGTCGAGTTGGGTCGGTTTCGGTTTTGCTCCTGTACAAAAGGACACCTAATTGAATTCTAATTGTAATTGCCTAATGGGTTGCCTATTTGGTGTAAAAGATTATAGAAAGTTAGAAACTATGATAGATTGCCTATTCTAATAGTAATTGCCTAATGGGCCTTCTAGTTCTAGTAGAAAACTAGTTATAGTTAAGTAGGAAACTACTCAAATTAGGAACTACCGAACTAGTAGAAGACTAGTTCGGTTCGGATCGGGCAAGAAAACCGAAACCGACCCGATATATCGATTTATATATTTGCCCAACCCGAAACCAACCGGTACTGATGAAAACTCGACCAACTCGGRTTGGGTCAGTCCGAACTAATCGGTTTGGTCGGATTGAGCATTCTTATGAACAGCCCTATTACTTATCCACATTGCAGGAATGTATTAGATAGACTAATAACCGTTAATCTTCACTATCTTTGGTTAACATGATAACCAATATAGCGGCAAATGAAGATAGGGATGATGATGATTTACCGTGGGATCCAATATCTTCGGTTACCAACGAATGGGGCCAAAATGTTGTCCACACAACAAGTAGGATCCATCCTTTCTCTCAAGATAGAAGAAGCAAGTGGTTCGATTTATTTAACCCGTGACTTTATACTGTACTATGGCGAAGGGTACACACACAGAGATGGGACCCTTAACATAACGACCAATTATCCCTTCTTTTATCTCTTCCAAACTTCATAGTTCATATCATTCGTTTAAATGCAAATTCAAAATCAAGCATTCATCAACTTTTTAGCTTTTTTGCTTGCATATAGAACAATACCATTCCCACTTTCCCTTCTTGCTTTAGCCTTTTCTCTTCTTACTTTCATTACTTGTGAATTGCAAAATGAATTGAATTTAGTGAAGATATTGAGAAAGGAAGTGGCAATTAGTTAGATATAGCCATTTGGTTTTCCCCATCATTAAAAATAAAAAGTCAAGAGAAAAATATATTGACTTCAGAGAAACAGAATTAGAGATACAGCCATAACCAGAGCATACATGGAGTAGACTTGTTCATGCTTCACACTTTATAACTACAACCCTTACTCAGCTTCTTGAAAGCCCAGAAGGGGTAAAAAACCAAGATGCAGGATAGATAGAGAGAGAGAGAGTTGAAAAAGAAAAACAGAGTAACAAATGTGGAAGCATTTATCAACTCAAAATTTTTCTTACAATTCAAGAAAAACAAAGGAAGAAAAAAAAGAATTGATAAATGCAGGAACATTTATTTCTTTGATCTTGGTTACTTCGTTATAGTTTATATATGATGAGAAAACAAGGCAATACTGCCCTCGAATCAAATACAAGCAGCTCACCACTTTCCCCACTAACCGAGTCAAACCCGATTCGACCATCCAAAAACGATTCGAGTCCAAGTCGCTTACATACTCTTCCCGCAATGACTCGGCATACCAACATGGCTCTTCTGCCCTTCCCTCCACCGGCGCTCTCGTGGGCCCCGCCGCTGCCGGAAAACGTGCAAATTGCCGCTTCTTTCCCGGAGAAGAGGCACATCCCAGTGGCGTCATAGAGTCCTCCGGAAGTAGGGCCTAAGCAGTGAAATCTCATCATTTCGTTACCATCCGCGATGCATCGCGCGTCATCCTCGATTCTATTGCCACCGTTGTTGCTGCTCAGACTACCGGATCTAGCACGAGCCTTCACAATCTCTCTGTACTCTTCAAACCTCGAAACAGTCTTGGGCAGATTCTGAACCTTGAAGATCATCTCGATTCGGCCAGAGAATGCCTTGGGTGACCAGCTAGTGTGGAAGATTATCTCTACAACATTGCGAGATGGGTGTTCCTCGGTCAGCTCCGTCAGGGTTGGAAAGAAAGGGTCCGGCGTTCGTGCGAGCCGGGCTGAGGTAGAGCGTCGAACTCGATTCGTGGGGCACAAATCGCTGTCAGTTTTCGTGGGTCTTGTTTGTTTCGAATTGGGTGGCGCGGGCGATGGTGAGTTTGTTTTTCTGGGCTTTCTCTTGGTGGTTTCAACGACGTCCTTGAGGCTTTGGACGCCTTTTCTGCAACTTGAACTCGGAAGGAAGTGGTTGTGGTGTTGTTTAGGGTTTGGGTGGTAGACATCTTCGAAAGCTCTTGATTTGCATTGTAGAGATTTGACCCAACCAGTCGCCATTAAGGACGACGAGTGGAGGTTGTGTTTGCTCTTGGAGAGAGTCCCTGAGAGTGGGCTGGTGGTGGGGAATTTGTTTGTCTCATGAAATGTAAAATTACATTTACATGGGTGGTGGTGGTCGCTGGTGCAAGGGACGGAGAATGGAATAGAATGAATGCAAGAAGCTGTGGACTGTGGATTGTGGATTGTGGATTGTGGATTGTGGTGGAGCTCCAGCTGCCAAATGAAATCTTAAATGAGTTACCCTTTATTGGTTTTTGGAATGACAAAATTGCCCTCAACAGTATACAAGAATACCCACGTGGATTCTGTCCCCTTCTTATCAGAATTCAGATGGGATTAATACCCATACAAGAAAACAACAAACTTCATTTTAATGCCAGACAAAACCCATTAAAAACTAATAAAACCAGGGAGGTTTTGAATTTTGATACTGTCCCAGTCCCTGAATGTTTCTACCATATTGTATCAGTATTTGTGTGAAATATATATATATTAACAACAAAGAAACCTTAATTACATGTTTCATAAAAGACAGTAGTCTTCCCTTCAACTTCACCAAAAGTAGTGATGGTGATCATATAGGCATGGATTCACCAAACAACAAAGGGATTTAGACCAGTAGTTAAATATTTATGTGGCTATGAATGAAATTGAATATCAAAAAAGAGGAGGATATGGAATATGAACTTCCATTTCTTTTTCTGTTTTTTGATGGGATGCAAATGCAATGTTGAATCTAAACTTGTTTCCCAATTTGGGTTCAATAGTTAAAAAAAGGGTTTATTACTGATTACGTTTGAGAGATGGGATGGTAAGGAGACATATTCAGTTGGTGGAACACATTCCAATGGGGGATGTCCCTCAACTAACACTTTGGTAGCCTTCCTGGATTTACCATTTCTTTGACAACAAGCAAGAATTACTTTCTTCTGCCTTTCTCTGTAAAGATTTAAAGCTTTCCTCTTCTTAAAGTAAGAATTTAACAAAAATAACAAATCTTCCCGTGTTTCTAACTTGTAAGCCTGTATTTTCCATTAATTAATAACCTTCTTCATTTGTTGAATTAGAATGAGGGCGAGAGAAGAACCAAAGAAAGCATAAAGCGGCCTATACCATTCTAAACCACAATTAATAGCCCACCTACCAGAATAACAAGTTATTGGGATGAGCTTTGTATTCTGTAGTCACATTTTGAACTAGAACATCCTTGAGCTGAGGTGGGAATTATTTAATTGAGTGGTTCTCATCCAATGTAAGTGCAGGCCGCCTATTTATACTGTGTTCATACCTAATCATGCTTTGTCTTTTCTATAATCTCCAACAACAGAATGGAATTTAATTAAGAGGAATGAGTTAGAAGATTCATTCAACAAACAGGAAAAAGAGAGGAATAGAAGAATGGAAGCTGTCAAATGGACATATTATATCGTGCACTGAAAATAAAACCGAAAACGACAATGTCTCTTTATGATTTTTATTGTTTTCAGCTAGAAAGAAGAAGACTTGTCAACAAAAACGATGGTGATCTCTCCAAGGCTCCAACGAGACAAGTCCCATTATAAGACGACAACACTGAGATATGTAAGTAAACTAAGCCAAAAGTTTTACCAAAAAAACAAGACCACAACTAGTTTGAGATAATGCAAAACAAATATATATGAAACCCAACCCAAGTAGAAGTGGAATTTGAAATGTACGGGGAGTCGGAGAAATCACGTCTCACGATGGTGGAGGGAATGGGG